ATATACGATAGAATGAATGTAAAACTGATGTTCTCCCATGTAAACTATCACATAATTCACAATAAAACATTTAAGAAAAATAAAAATGTTGTGTAGTGAGAAGTTTTATGGACTGCCAAAAGAACAAACAGATCTGTGTTGGAAGAAGTTGTTGTTGTTACATGCTATGGAGTCGGTTCCGACTCATAGCAACCCTGTACAGGGTTTCTAATGCTGTAAATCTTTATGGGAGCAGAAAGCCTCATCTTTCTCCCACGGAGCAGCTGGTAGTTTTGAACTGCTGACCTTAAGTTTTACAGCCCGATTCATAACCACTACACTACCAGAGCTTCTTGTGTTGGAAGAGGTACAGCCCAAGTATTCCTTGGAAACCAGGAGGGCCACAGACTTTGTCTCTCATACTTTGAAGGAGGGACCAGTCACTGGCGAAGGACATCATGTTTAGTAAAGTGAAAATGTGGAGAAAAAGAGGAAGATCCCCAACAAGATGGATTGGCACAGTGGTGACAGCAATGGGTTCAGGTGTAACAATGATGGTGAGGTTGGCCCAGGACCAGGCAAGGCAGTGTTTCATTCTATTGTGCACAGGGTCACTATGAGTTGGTACCAACTCGATGGCACCAAACAACAATGAAGAGGTTTTACAGGAAAATGCTTATGCCACAAGTTTGAATCAAAAAATTACAAAATGAGAAGTAATACAAACAGTATGATTCTAAGACCACACAATGAATACAGTGGAATCCCATCCTATGGAGCAATAGGTTCTGACAGAGGTACCTGATCCCTCAGTTTCCCATCTCCCTGGAGGTGAAACCCCATGTCACATGGCTCATTTGGGCCAATGGGCTATAAGAAGAAGTGATGTGTCTCTTCAAGGCTACAGCAGTTTGGAGCTGGTGTGCCTTGGTCACCTGCCCTGGCTGTCTGTCACATGGAGAGCGTGGTGGCCATGTTCCAGAAGCCAAAGCCCTCTCACATGTTACATAAATGGGGGAGGGGCGAGGACTTTGTCTTCAGATGCTGAGATTTTGAGGGGACTGTGGGTTGAGACAACTAGCAAGAGTATGGTCAAAATACCTTAGAATAAACCTTGCCTGGTCCTACGCCACCCTCAGAGCTACTGTTGTTGGAGCCCACAGTTGCAGCCACTATGACAACCCGTCATGTCCTTCAGGGTCTTCCTCTTCTTTGCTGGCCATCCACTTTACCAGAAGCATGATGTCCTTCTCCAGGGACTGGTCCCTCCTGATGACATGTCCACAAGCACGTGAGGCAAAGTCTCTCCATCCTCGCTTCTAAAGAGCTTGTTAGCTGTACTTCGCCCAAAACAGATTTGTTCTTTCTTCTGACAGTTCAGAATAATTCAAATACATCAGTTCTTCTTCAATCTTTCTTTATATTGTCCAGTTTGCATAGGAGGAGGTTATTGAAAAGGTCATGGCTTGGGTCAAGGGCACCTCAGTCTTCACCAAGACACCATAACTTAAACTACGGTTTATTTGCATGCATACTAACCTCAATAGCTAACACTGCGGAATTGTTGTTTTCTTCCTTCTAGCACTGGAACCGACTTTTGCTGCTGTTCTATGTGTTTGGAAACCACACCAGGTAAAAGTGCTACTTTGTTGTTGTTTTAAGTGCTGTCGAATCAGTTCTGACTCATAGCAACCCTGTATGGGGTTTCCAAGGAGCAGCTGGTGAGTGTGAACCGTCAACCTTGTGGTTCAAACTGACCTTGAGGTCGAGTGCTTATCCTATGGCTATTAGGTAAAAATAGGTATTTAATTGGTGTGTATTATGAGGGAAGGTTTGGTGATTACATGTACTTGATTCTGGATGTATTCATGTCGAAATGCCATAACTCCAGGGTCAAATAGTAAGCAACGCAGAAACTTCAAAGAACAAAAACATTACCAGGGGTTCCCTCTCTACATGGGAGGGTTACAATGTCTGCCCCTTGACTTCCTTTCTCTCCCAACTTTGCTCTATTTTAATATGTGCCTCGTGATGATAAGGAAACATTTCTAAGCACTCCTTGCTTTGTGTGTGTTTTTGGTGGTTTGGATAGAATGTTAAAGGAGTCTTGCTGGCGCACTGGGTTAAGTAACTGAAAGGTCAATGGTTCAAACCCTCTAGCCACTCTGAGGCAGTTCACCTCAACCCTATAGGGCTGCTATGAGTTAGAATTGATGGAAAAGCAATGGATGAGATTCTAAGGCTTACTTCTCCAAATATCTTCTTCACTCCTAAATAAATAAACATGAGGTAATTCTAACTGACCAGGTGGAGTATGTCAGCCTTGTGGAAAGACGCCACCACCTCCCAGGTGCCCAGGAGAGAAGAAGGGTCCACGGCTAAGGGGACACAGAGGGGACTCGGGATGTTTGCAAACACCATGTGGGTTGAGAAGGAAAAGAAAAATGGCCTTAGTCCCTACTCATACTTACTTACCCCAGGAAGGAAGGTGAAGAAGTTGTATTTCTGGTTATTGATGACATTTCGAGGGTACCTCTGGTCCCTCTTCTCGGGGTGCCCCAACCAGACAGTGCGGGGCCTGGGCTCCCCTCCACCACAGCATCTCAGCCAGTCGCAGCACCTGCCAAAAAGACACACCCACACTGTTAAGGCCACACCCACAACACCGAGGCCACACCCACATTTGGCCACTCTTATATCTATTGTGACCGAAGATGTCTTCACAGCGTCAGGACCATTTGTGGGGCTTTGTCCTTTACTGGTATGGAAAGAGAGCTAGGGCTGCTCAAAAGCTATGGAACAATTAATTAAAAGATGCTTTTTCCAAATCCAAGCTATTGATTTTAAAAAGCAAGATTCATTTGAGAATACGATTCTAAAGTAACAAGGTAAACACACAGCCAATACCATTATTGTCCCAACTGTACAGATGAGAAAAGGGAATGAATCAAGCAGCCATGTTTCCAGCACTGTGAGAAACAGCTGAGGCTGGCCTCAAACTGTGCCTGTCCTTCCCACCACCGAGGGTCTTTCTGACACCTCCGGCGTCTAAGTTGCTGCTTCCACCTGGAGATTAAGAGGTCTTCCACGGCAGCAGAGAGGGAGCAGCCCGGGCTCTCCTTAGCACATTCTAGAAGAGCAAACTGGAAAGTCTCAAAACTAATAGAATCTGGAAATGGGCCGGCGTGCCACACAATTCTCCTGAGAGGGTGGTTCACGCAAATGCACCCCCCCACCCACCCGCCCATATGCAAGCCCATCCCAGATCACCCAGTGGGCTGGACTGTTTTGTTAAACAGCTGCTTGAGAGCCTTCAAAAATAGAAAGGCAGCTTAGACTGTGGGAAAACAGCTAAACATAGAAATAGAAGAAATTACAAGTCCCCTTACGCATGGCAATGAAAAGACCCTAAACTGACTGGTTCATCCTCCCGAACCCCACAGCATACACAGGCAGCAGGGAGAAACCATCTTGATCCCCTGCCAGCAACTTGAAACTGGGCCAGCTGAAGTGAAACCAAGCAGGCTGGCAATTAGGACTTACATAATTACCGGTCCCCCGAAGACCCTTCTTCCTTCTCCCCTTCTTCCTACAGGCCAGGCCCCCGCGTAGGGTGTGGGGATACAGAGCCACCGAGGCAAACTAGGTCCTGTGCATCCGTAACCTAAAGATTAGTGAATCCGAGAGCTGCCTGCCTCAGCCGCTCAAATTTTCCATGAGGAAACACAATGCCCTTTCTTAAAAATAGCATCCTCATTCCAGTAAGAGGTGTTCTGATACGGGCAGGTTTCACTTCTAGCTCATTCCTGCTGGTCCCTGTCTAAATGTGTGCGAAAGCCAGAGAGACACACAGAGGCCCCAGAAACCAGCCGCTCTTCACAACCTCACAACCCCTGCCTCTGGTACAAACTACACTCTGGCCTATGGGTAGCCATGCAGGTGTGACACAGACACTTAGATATGAATGAAATGAAAGGAGCAAGGGGGCGGCGCCGGGGGGAGGTAAGGGAAGAGGCAGGAAAAGAAGGAGGTGAAAAGACAGAAGGGAAAGGAGAGGAAGTTACAGAAGGAAACAGGAAGTAGTTCTTTGACAGGAAACACATCCCTCCATGGAATCCCAGTGTGGCGCTGTAGAAGAGTTGGATGCTGACTGAAAGGTTGGTGGTTCAAACCCTGTAAGGGGTGCTTTGAGTCGGAACCAATTCAACCGCACTTAACAACAAACAACACCATTCTATTTGCAGAAATCTTAATTATCTCCCCCCATCCCATAATAAACCTGTAATGATGGTTCCTATAGTCCTTGTGTGGCATTGTATGGTAAGCATGGAAATGCTAACTGCACGTGCTGTGGTTCAAACTCACCAGCTACTCCTCAGAAACCCTGTACAGGGTCTCTATGAGCAGGGACCAACTTGACGCACTCAACATCAAGAACAACATAGCTGTATTCTTTCTAATAGAAGACTGAAACTGTATTTAAGAGAACAACATACAGCCAGGTTGGTTGCTTATGTGACTTTTGTTTTAGCTGCTTGAAGTTAAGCTACCTGGTAGGACTGAAGGAGGCCAAATAAATTGGGGGTAGATTAAATAGGGGCGTGTGTGGCTCAGTAGGATAAGCAAAGGACTGTGAATCACAAGGTCGGCGGTTCAAGCCCACCAGCCATTTCATGGGAGAATGATGAGGTTTCCTGTTTCCACAAAGATTTAGAACCTTGGAAACCCTATACAGGGTCGCCTTGACTTAAAATCAACTCCACAGCATGTAACAACAACAAGTTAAAGAAACACGGGCCATCAGTAAAATGGAATTCTTAGCAGCCTAAGTAAGGGTGAGGTAGAGCCGTGTGTACCAAAGTGATCCTATTTGTAAGATACGTTCAAGCAAACACAGGGGCTCATAGGTAGAAATATCCCCCACTGGGTTTTCAATGGCTTTCCCTAGAGTGTCTCTGGATAGATTCGAAATGTCAACCTTTTGGTTAGTAGGAGAGTGCTTAACCATTTGCATCATGCAGGACTCCACTGTATGAGCATTTGTTGTTGTTGTTGTTGTTGTTGTTAAGTGCCAATGAGTTGGTTCAGTGACCCTGTACAGGGTTTCTGAGGAGCAACTGGTGAGTCTGAACCACAGACCTTGCAGTTCAAACCAACCTTTTGGTTCAGCGCATTATCCTGCAGCGCCACATCAGAACACCAACCACTATTCCAATATATAAACTCTGCTTTTGGAATTGTCTTCAATGAGTCAGACTAGGGGCTTGCTCATCTTCTCACTCATTTTAGGATTCAAGAAACACTTAGTGAGAACCTAATAAATCCTAATTACTGTACTAAACTCTTAAGGACACAGTGCTGAATAAGAGAAAGCTGTTCCTCTTAAGTACTACAGGAACTTAAAGAGAAAACAAACAGTAAACAGATAATTATGATTCAACATAATAAATGAAAGTATGAGTTCTTTGAAAATAGATGGCTTCTTCATAAATAAACACCAGATGGATGGAAAGCAAAAACGCAAGAGGCTAAAACTAGAAATCAGGGACTCACAACTGATACGTGTACACCAATGTTTAAAGTCGTACTATTCATAATAACAAAAAGATAGGCGCACCCCCAGTGTCCATCAACAGATGGAATGAATCAACAAAGTGTGATATAAACATACATACGGCATGTTACTCAGTCAATAGAGAGATGAGTTCTGATAGATGCTACAGCATTGATGAACCCTGAAAACATTACACTGACAGGCCTGCAGACTCAAGACCATAGTTCTGGGGGACACCATGGTCAACTGGCACAACCTACTCCACAAAAACAATGTTCTACATCCTAATTTGGTGAGTAGTGAATAGGATCTTAAAAGCTCGCAAGTGACCATCTAAGGCACAACTACTGATCGCTCCCTGTGCAGAGGAAAGGAGAGTAATGAACACTGAAGATGCTTGACAACAGTTAGCCAATGGACTAGTGGACCTCCTGACCACCACTCTCCATGACACTGAGACCAGAAGAACTAGGTGCTACCACTACCAACTGCTCTAAAAGGGATCACAGTAGAAGGTCCCAGATAGAGTGGGAACAAAACTCAAAATCATAAAAAAGACCACGCCAACTAGTCAGAAAAGACTGGAGGAACTTCCCAAGACTATGGTCCTTGGTATAGTACTGAACTCACCCTCGTGGCTCAATTTCCAGCCAAGCTGTAGGCAGGTGTATGGGGGTCAACAATACTAGAATGGTCAGTCATTCAAGATCAGAAGGGCAGCATTTACCTTAGGGTAAATTAGGAAGGGAGGAGGAATGGAAACTGATACAGGTGAGGTTACATTATAAGGGTACTGCAATCATAGAAAGGCAGAATAGGGTTTGTTGAATGTAAAATGACGATCTGCTCTGTAAGCCTTCACAGAATTCGCAATGAAACAAACAACACATAATGCTCAGTGAAATTAATCAGACACCAAAGGCCACATATTGTATGAAGTATCTAGAATAGACAGATACCTAGAAACAAAAGTTGATTAGTGGGAGATGGGCATACCTGGACCAGTGGGACAGGCAAACAGGTTGCTACTGCTTAAGGGGACCGAGTTTCTAATTGGTGAGATGATGAAAATATCTGGAAATGAATAGTGGTGACGGTTGTACAACATGTTGAATATAATTAATGTCACTGAAGTGTTCTGTGGAGTTTAAATGAACTTTACCCAAGAATTCGGTTTTGCCTTTGATCCTGAGAGATAACTTCTAAAACCTTGGAATTTTCCTGGTAATCCTAAGTATCTTTGAGGAGGGATCCAGACCACACCTAACCTAAAAGGCTATGGTAAATCCCCTTGTGCTATCAAATGACCTGGGGGAGAGGGGCTGGAGTTGGAACCCTGCCCTACCCCACCCCCCACCTCTCACAGCAAAGCTCTGGGCTTCCTGGTAGGCAAAGACATCTATGCACACAGATGGGCAGCACATTCCTTTTGGGCACATGGGACCCTCCCAGCCCTGGTCCTGTGTGTCTTTTCATTTCTGTCTTTTGGGTTGTAATAAGGCAGTGGTTATAATTTCAATGGTCTCAAAAGGGTCTGAGTCATTCTAGCAAATTATCGAAACTGAGAGGGCAGGGAAAACGTGCAGGTCACAGCAGAGGGGAATGTTGCTGTTACTAAGTGCTGTCCAGACAGTTCTGACTCATGGTGACCTTGTATAGGGTTTCCAATAAGTGGCAAGTGGGTCTGATCCACTGATCTCTCGGTTAGCAGTCCAGTGCTGATCCTACAGTACCACAGCGGAACTCCAGAGGGGAATGAGGACCGTGAGTTGTGGTAGTTATCCTGAGAGAGCAGAAAGAAATCTCAGAACTTGTAGAGCAGTTCAGAGTGAGGCTGCTATCGGGACTCCTGAGCTGGAGGTTGGTGCCCAAGGCCTGGAGCTGACTTGGCACCAGGAGGACCATGCCCTATAACTTGTAAGCTCTGGCCCGGCTCTAGTTGGTGAGGGACAGAAGAGGAAATGCTGCAGGTGCAACTGGGGTTGGAACAGAAGTAGCAGAAGTGAAAGGTGGGGATGAGATACTTTGCCAGCATGTACGCCTAAAAGGGCTGAAAGGACAAAAGT